CCCGCGGAGCCACGCGGTGCGCGGCGCGGCCGCTAGATGGCGCCGCTGGTACGGGCCGCGGGGCCGCGGCGGCTCGCGGTGTGTCTCGCGGCCGGCCGGCGAGGCGGCGCGCCGGGCGACCTCGGGCGGTGCTGCCGCCTGGCGGCGGCGGCCCGCCGGGCGTGGACCACTGCCGCGCTGGAGTCTGCGCCGCCCTCCTCCTCGCCGCCCTCCCCCTCGCCCTCTTCCCTTTCAGTTCCTTACTCCGGCGAGGATCGACCTTGCCCGCCCGTTTCCCATCCCCAGCAGCGCAGGCTGTACTTGGCGGGGCGTGGTGGGGCGTGGCGGGGCCGATGATCTCGCCGAGGTGACGGAACGCCTTCTTTGAACGCCCTTCCACCACCCCACTTGCCCCGCCGCGTCTCTGCTCCAGGCGACCCTCCTCTAATCTGGTCCGACGGAAGCTGGAATAATCGGGCAGGTGATTATGCCCTGCACTTGGTTGTGCAATCGGCTGGGCGAGGCTCCAGGCGGCTCACCCCAGTCCGCTCCAGGCTCCCGGCCGGCCCGACTGGCGAGGCGGTGTCGGCCGGGGCCTGGCTGGAGAGTCGAGCTGGCCGGGAACGCTTGACGACAATCGTTCGATCTCCCCCTCGTGTTCCGCCTCGTCATCCCGGCCGCGCCGTGCTCTCCGGGGCTGGAGCCGGGGGGCCGCGCTGGAGGCCGAGGCCGGCGCTGCCCCACTGGCACCGTGCTCACCGCGAGGCTCACCGCGCTCACCGCGGGGCGTGGCCGCGCCGGCCCGGCTTTAGGCGCGCCGCGCCCACCGCACGTGTATTGATCGCTACGTCGGTGTTGTTGCTCAGCCTCAAACACTCAAATGAGGAGCCGGCCGCGCAGCCAGCGCACCGCTACCCGCGCCCCTCGTGTCCTTAATGTATTCCTGGCCCAGGGGTCCCTTCCGATAAATCCATGTCCGAAGCAAGGCGGAGGGACCCGGGCGAGGTGGGGTGGGGCGGGACGGGGTAGGGCGGAGCGTTACCGCCTCTAGGCATTAGCTTGCAGGTGTTGCCTGATAGAGTAGGAAGACGCCGTGCCTCGCCATCCACTCTCCTACTCCCTCTCTCACCAGCGTTCTCTCTCTCCCTTCGTTCCCGCAACCCCTGCGCAGCCCCCCACTTCCCCCGGGCCCTCCTGCGCCAAGGCCCTTACGGTTCCCACCGAGGTTCCCACATTCAGCCCTGCCCTCCTGTCCCCCGCCGCGCCAGCGCAGCGCGCCAGGCGTAAGTACAGAACGCGACGCAGATGGCGGGGGCCCCCTCCCGGAGGGACCACAAAACTACCCGCCCGCCGCATAACAGCCCGCCCGGCCTCGTACCCACCTCACCTGCACCCCCTCCCCGCGCTCAGATCGCTGAACTGAGGAGGAAAGCGCTCGGTGGGAACAAAGCGATATGGCTCTCCGAATGCACGAGCGGTGAGCGGTACTTACAGGATGCCGTCTTGGAGCACCTTGTCGGCGACGCCGCCGCCGCCGCGCGCCCCGGCCCGCCCCGGCGCGTCCTTATTCTCGCGGTCCGGGTGGCGCTCTGCCAGCGGCGCGGCCAGGGACATGCGCTTGGCCGCCTCCTGCAGGATCTCCGCGTCCGTCGAGTCACCCTCGGCCTCCCCGAGGCCCAGGGCCAGCGACCCCCGCGCCGCCCGCATCGCTCTGCCTCTGCCGCCGCCGCCCGCCGGCCTCGCCGAGGTCACGACGGTGATGGAGCCCCGCGGTCCCGCCTGTCCTGGAGCTGGGCCTGCCTCTGCCGCGGTCGGAACTGCCTCGCCGCGCCCGGTCGCCGACGGGCACGGGTTCACGGGCACGGCCAGCCATCTGCAACAAGATCTCTCAGGCTCAGCTCATAGCGTGCGGGGGGAGGGAACATCGGCATCTGCAAATTTTGGCATAGACCCGAGCTCCTACGCGGGCCGAAAACAGAACTCTGCCCTCGTGTTGCCGGGGTTGAGGTGATAAACCTGCACTTGCCGATAGCATAGCACAGCCGTCACACAGCCGGGAACAAGCAACTCGTTATTCGACTACTCTGGCGCATATGACATGTCCTCCAACGCTGTTCACCCCCCTCTCCCGTGCGCCACCAGACCACCCGCACCCCATCATCCCCCCGATCGTTTTCCTTACACAATGGACTGATCCAAAAAGAGGAGGATGAACTAACTGTTGTTTGAGCTCTCGTGCTGCCTATTGTGTGGCGGCCGCAAAAAAAGATGAAACGCTGTCATTCAATTCGATATAACTTATTGCTGCGAGGCCATTGAAAGCGCGACGCGGCGAGGCGTTGCCGGCGCTGCCTGGGGGGCGGGGAGGGGGGCATTTCGGGTCGGAGAGCATGGTATCAGTCTTTGTGTCTGCGGGGCACACATCGCGCCAAATCGCGGAAGTCGCGGTGGTAGGGGGGGTAAAGAGAGAGAGAGCGAGAGAGAGCGAGCGAGATGTATGTATGGATGAATGCAGTGCAGAGAGAGGGTTGGAGGAGGACTGGAGGCCCTTTGGGTCATGCTTTGGGGAGCTCTGCTCACTGGGCCTTAAGCCCAACCGATTGGCATAACGAGAAGCTGTGGAAGGTCTCGCCGTATCCGGGGCCCCCTCTCGTCTCTCGTATGAAGAGTGTAGGCAACATTCCCCGGGTCCCTCCCTGCTCCTGCTGCTCTACTTGTCTGCGCCGCGCCTTATTGAAACGCGCGCGCGCGCGCTCTAGCCGCGCCGTCTCTCTTGCACTCGCATCAAACCTTCCCCGAGTGACGTGAGCGCGGTGAGCGCCGTAAGTGGGAGTGAGACAAGCTGTGCTCGCGCGGTGCGCTGCGCTGGCGCCGGGGTGCGCCGTGGCTGCTGCTGCTGCTCGGCTCACGCCGCCCCGCCCGCCCCGCCCCA